TGGGTAGGCAAGATTCTTCCCTGGTTGGCCCAATTAGCCTGCTGCAGAGCAGACAATTCTGAGGAATAAAGTCGGGGCCTTTGTCACTGGGCCACATTTAATTGTCCAACTAATGCATCTGTGTACAAAGTCTGTGAATGGGAACATGTAATGCGAATGAGCTCTCTTTTAACGAGAACAGTCAAGGATGAGAGGGGATCCACGGATCTGGAAGCTGCGAGGTTAGCAGGCAGCATTAGAGACATCAATTCCGGTCGTTCCCGCACATCAAGAGGGTGACTGAATTTCCTAGATGGTTTCAATGTAGGGAAAAAGTTGCCCCCGCCCTGCAGGACCAGATGGGGGCCTCCTGGGCCCCAGAGGTGGGGACGCGGCTCCTCCAGGACAAGAAAGCTGGGAGGGCACGGTGCAGGCGCGCAAAGCCTTCTCCACCCAGCCGCCCGCAGATCCAGTGGCAGGGAGCGCAGAAAGCGGTGTGTAAGCTCAGGGAAAGTAGGCAGGCAGTCCAGTGACAAGAGAAAGCTTCGGGTCGCGAGGCTTAGGCTGGGGCCCTGCAGGGGAGGAGCGGCGGCCAGACCCGAGAACAGGCCGGGAGCTGGGGAAGCTGCACAGCAGGGAGTGCTGGGGAGCACCAGGGAGCGCGGGGAGCGCCGGGGAGCCGGGGCGCTGGCGAGTGCTCTGCTGGGAACTGTCGGGCTTACTGGAAATGCGCCGGATCAGGTTCCAGATCAATGAAATCTGGGTCCACACGTTTACGTTATTGTTGCCAGCATTAATGCTCTTTTAATCTTCTAAACATTATCAGCATCGATCTCCCTCCATATACACATTTGTTTGAGAAAGTGACATAACCACACGGTGGAAAGCCTGGAGTAAAAATAAATGTGCAGCCTCTCACGTCGAGGATGCAGGGTGGCCTGGGCTACATTCTCTCGCGGGGCTTCACTGCCCTCCCTCCCGTCCTGCCTCTCTGCTGCTCCTGTCCACCCTAATGCGTGCTACGGAGGTGTTCTCGAGGCACTGGGGGCTTGACCAAGCAAGGACAGTAGCGAGAGCTTTTCAATTATTAATCTGACCAGCCAGCAGGCAAAAATATCGCGTGTTCCGTACTGATGTGGGTTGCCTGCGGCCTCCCGGCCACGATCCCAAACTAAACTGCAGGGAGAGCTGGGTTGAGCTGGGCTGGAAGCTTTGGGGAGTTGGGGTTGTGAAGTGGGGGGAGGTCTTCGAATGAAGTCCCCGCCCCCTCCCTTTGCTTTAGGAGGTGCCGGGTCGGTTCAGTGCACCCTAAGATATCCCGGTTCAGAAGGACACAGGCGCGCAGTGATACCCCCGCAGGAACCACTAAGAACCTCCTTGCCATGCTCCCCCCGCTGCGGCCCTCAGGTGGCCCTGGCAACGTCTTGGCGGGTTGGTTAAGGGCCCACTGCTGCCTGGACAGAGTTGGCTTCAGATTGGCCACTGGGAGTTACTGCTTAAAGAGAGCTTGCGTGTCTGTCCAACGCGGGGATGGGAGGCTGATTCCCAGCAGACATCCCGGGAGCCGGGGTTACAGGCTGTGCCATCCAGGGCTCTGCTCTCTCTTCCCGATGACGGAGGAAACCACTCCCGCCACTGAGACCTCGCTTTTCCTCAGCTGGGCGCCTGTCCAGGTTCTTGCCTGGTCTCTCTCCCTCTTTGTTCGTGTTTGTGCTTGCTTTAGAGGCTTTTCTTGGGCTCAAAGCTGGAGAGTGTTGGTTCTTGAGCCCGTGGGAGTGTGTCCTGAAGCCTCTAGCCCAGTTAATAAAAGCTGCCTTGAGAAACCTCTGAGGAGGCCCGCGCGGGAGCAGCTGCAAACACTCTCTGCCTCTGCCACCCTTTCTGAGCGAAATCGTGCCGTTCTGGGGCAATCTGAGTTTCCCCATGTCTTCTCACTCCCCTTTGAAACGCTACCCTGGGCTCTATCTACACTGCAGAGGTGGGCACAGGGGAGAGGAAGGACCACTTCTGTTGTGACAGTGTGTACTTCTCCTCAGGGTGAGGTTTTAGGGCAATGGCCCAAATCAGACATCTTAATTCTTAGGTCCCTAAAACCCTTGCCTGATTGGGCCTTTGGGCCAGAGGGGCCCAAAATGAGAAAGAGAAAGGAAAACTAAAAGGATAAAAGAAAGAAAGCAAGCAGAGGCCTGGTCTGGGGTAAGTGGGGGGGGGGGGGGCACCACTTGTTCCAGTACAGGGTTGGGAGACAGGCCCAGTCACCCTTTGGGAGCTACTAGGATTGTTTAATCCCGGAGTCCGACGGTGTGGGCCATCAGCGAAGGTCCGAAGGTCCCCGAGGGGATTCCGATCAATACTCCTGACAGAGAAGGCCTCGGCTTTTCTTCTCCATTTGCTCCTGTCCCCTAGTGCTCCTGAGTACATAATACCTACTTACCAACCCCAGCTTCTGCGTCAGTGTCTGAAGAGACTGATCTACTGACCCCAAACTGAAAAGCCTTCTATGTAATAATAACCACTCAACACGCTTGTAGTTGCTGATAAAATGGCTAGATAAAAAGGCTAAAGCTCTTGTCCCTTTTCAACATGGGGTAATAAAACAGACACACATTTGAATGCTTCAGCAAAGTGGGGTCCTCAACAGGAATTTCCCACTCACTGAAGGAGCTGTCAGTCTCCTTCGGAGGCAGCCCTGAGGAGTCATCCTGGAACTCTCCCACCCCATGGTGGGTGGTGGGACTGGGGACCCCCAGGAGTTGCCACACTTATCCTTAAACCCAGCAGTGCTTGGGGCCATGGTAAAAGCTGAGACTAAGAACTAACAGGTAAAACATTACTTGCCACATCACTTTCAAATGCAGAGGCAGGAAGGCAGTATTTTATTTTATTTTTTTAGCTCTGCCCTTTTCACCACAGGCATGAGGGGGCGGCAGCGCTCTGAGATGGGCTGGAATAGGATAGCTGTCATCTCACCTTTAACTGTACCCCCCAAAGACCAGCTGCCAACTTCCTTCTGGCTGCTTGTGTCCAGGAAGCCAGCACGTGCTAGAGCTTGCCAGAGAGAGACTGGGGGGCCTAAGACAATAGGGAACCACACTGTTGGGAATTGTCAGTAAGCTTCCAATTTATTTCTCACTGCTACTCTCTATTCACTGCTTAATCTTTGCTAGGAACCAAAAGCAAATCAGAGAAAAATGTAGGAGAGGATGAAGCGTAAACTAAAGGAGAGAGATAAAGTAGATTTCTAAATCCAAGCAAAAGTACTTGGAGTTCACCGATCTGAAGAAGCTCTTTCGGGCAAACCTCGTTTTCCTTTTTATCTTCTTAGATCAACACTGCGGGGCCGCTGTAGGTAGGAATCCTCCAATAGCCCGCAAAGGCTGAGGTGGTCATATTGAAAACGCACCTCCCCAAGCCTGGGTGAAAATGCTGCCTGTCACACCTCCCAGCCCTGTCCGGTGTCGGTAGAGTGCATTCACACTACCTTTCAACGGTGCGAGGAAAGCCCCGGGGCGCCGGAGAGGAAGCCTCAGCTCTCCCCTCCGGAAGCGCTTCCTTTGCGATTATCTTTGAATCTCACGTGTCCCACTTCCCTCGCCTATGCAAATCACTGCCACTATGACTCGTCCCTCTGATGACCCGCCGATCCCGAGATCGCCTCAGTCCAAGAGAAGCTGCCCAACCCTGTTTGCAGTAGAGTACAGCGTATCCTCCCAATGGGGTGCCTGGACACTTAGTCCCTCTGGGCCTGCGGCTGGATCCTAGGGACAGCGCAATTGCCACGCGCACCGCCGGGTCTGTGCGCACAAAAGCGCTCAACTGTGTGCCAGGCGCAGCTACTGCTGTGTTTTTCTCTACAGTTCCCGCCGCCCACGCAGGAGGTGTCTGTGCTCCTAGAACAATAGAGGGCTGTACCTCGCGGCTCCGCCGCTAGAGGAGGCACAAAGAGCCAAGCCGGCTCCAGAACAATGTAACCAGCGCGTCAACTCGTCCCCTCCCGCCGGCCGCCAGCCCTCCCCGACACCGCGCTTCGCGCACAATCAGCGTCCGCTTAATGCAAAGGCGGAGCCTGTAGCCCGCGGCCAAGATGCATTAACTAACTTGCATCTTAATTTCTCAGCACCTCTTTCCACAAGCGCCTGACCTCTCTCCGAGCCCAGCCAAACCTTGGCAAATCCTAGCAAACGCTAGGAGTGGTGCAAGGGTAGCCGGCAAGCTCTCTCCGTTCTTAGTTTATCTCCCCCCGTCCTCCCAGAGGTTAACGCGGCAGTCCCAACCTTCGTCCTTGAACCCTCCCCCCGCTGTGGACAGTGACATGGAAGCTGGCCCAACTGGGCTCTTTGGGTCAGAAAAGTCCCCGCGCCAACGCCAAGGCCGGAGAAGGGCTCAAGAAGCGCTATTATAATCCGGCCACTCGTTCCGGCGAGGCAAGGCTGTGACTCCTGCCAATAACCAAAGAAGTTTGCCTGATATGGTGGGCAGGAGAACAGAGAGATCTTTTTCCTTTCAGAAGAGCAAAGATCCTCAACTGCCTCCATATAGGGAGACTAGGCAGCCTGGAAAACGGAAATGGATTGTCTAAGCAAGAGTTCAAGTGCACAGGGTTTTGAATAAGGGCAATACTTGGTCTCTGTGAGTCCTGGAAAAAGAGGGTTCCTAGTGGACACCAGGCACCCATCCCGCCTCTCGCAAAGAGAGGGCAAAGTTGACACGCGGAGGGGAGGGCGAATGAAGTGTGTGTGTGTGTGTGTGTGTGTGTGTGTGTGGCGGTGTCGGTCCATGAAAGCTCGTAGACAAGGAGGGAGAAAGAGAAGAAAATAAGCAGAAAGAAAAAGGGAGAGCAGAAAGAAGAGGAGAAGAGAAAGAGAAAGAGAAAATGGAAGAAATAAAGTCAGAAGAAACAGGAAGTGTGTAGGGGAGAGCAGGAGGGAACCGAGGGAAGTGCTAGGCACGCTGATCTGGGGCCACGAGCACCCAGAGCTCGCTCCCCAGCCGCCAGGCTCCTGGCGACTCTCTGGTCTTACCTGCCAGGCGGAGGGCGGACATGCGCTGGAACTCCGGCTCCTGCAGCCACTTCCACATTCTGCGGAAGGTCTCCCTGCCAGATTTGAGTTTACTCCACGGTTTTGGGTTCCGGAGCAGGTCGGAGAGAGTCCCCTGAGACCGGCACAGCACCCTCTGCGCGAAGATCGCCTGCGGAATGCTGTAGCGCTTCAGCTCGGCGGTGATGCGCTGGGCCACCTCTTTGGTGTTGATCTCCTCCAGCTGGCCAGATGTGGCCACCTGCGAGCCCGACGAGGACGAGGGTGGACGCTCGCGGCTGGGTGCCAGCACCGGCCCGTGGGACTGAGTGTGACCTGGGTGGTGCAGGCCATTGAGGTGCGACATCATGGCCGCGGGCGGGGTGCCCAAGCCCCGAGACAGGTGCTGCTCACCGCGGGTCAGCATGGCAGTGTGGTGCGCATCGAAGTTGGGGCTGAGCATTTTGTCGTGGCCAGGCGGCCCGTAGTTGGGCAGGCTTTGCTGCGCGTTGTGGAGGCCACCCAGCCCGTTGCCCAGCGGCGTGGCGGCCAGCGGGGACAGGCTCTGGCTCATGCCGGGCATCTCCTTGTAGGGGCTGTAGAGGTTGTTCATGGCCGGGAGCCCGCGTTCGTCGCGCATGAGAGTGAAGCTGCCGCTGACGTTGCCCGACAGGCGCTGGTGGTGGTGGTGGTGGTGATGGTGGTGTGGATGGTGGTGGTGAGGGTGCGGGTGGTGGAACTTGTCCGACACGGTGGAGATGGGCGGCAGCGGCTGGAGCGGCGTCAACGTGGTGTATGTGTTGCTCATGCCCATGCCGGGCGGGGACGAGTCGCAGGACATGCTCATGGCGTGATGGAGCGGGATGGAGAGCTCCGGCCGGTAGTCACCGCCGTCCAGGATTGAGGCCATGCTAGTGACCATGGCCGAGCGCGACGCCGCCGCTGCTGCTGCTGCCGCTGTGCCCAGCTCCTGGTGAGCCGTTGGCGGCGGCGGCGGAGGCGGGCCCCGCAGTGAGCCAGCAGCGCCGCGGCCCGCGTGGTGGGGGCTGGGGCTGGCCAGCAGCTCTTGCTCATGGCCCGGGCCCCCGCCGCCGCCCCCGCCGCCCCCGCCGCCGCCCCCGCCGCTGCCGCCGCCGGCCGGCCCGTGTAAAGTGCCCAGACTTTCCATTGTCAGCTCCGGGTTCATGGCGCAGCCTTCTAGTTCTTTGGTGAGGCATCGATAGGCGGTGTAGGCAGCCTTCATTCAGTCCATCGGGGCACGGGGGCGACGGGGGCGGCCGGCAGGCTGGCAAGGCGCGCGTGGCGGAGCTCGGCCGTGGGATCAGGGGAGGGCGCGAGAGTGCGTGAGTGTGTGGAGGGGGAGCGTGCGTGCGGTGTGCGCCCCGGGCTGCGGGCGGGCGCGCCCGGGGTGGGGGCGGGGTGGGGGCGCAAGGGGCGTGCGTGCGGGAGAGGAGAGGGGGCGGGGAGGGAGGGAGGGATCACCGAGCCCCACCGCTCGGGCCGGCGCGCTGCCTAGCCATGTCCCAGCCCGCTCCGGCGCGGACGGCTTCTGTTTGGGTGAGCGGGAGCTGTCCAGAAGGGCTCTGCCGCTGGCCGGGGCAGCCAACCTACCCTCCCGGACCTGGGGCGGGGCAGCGCCCGACGAGCGTCGCGAACAGCCACTCCGAGGCCACGGCTGGGCTGAGGGGCGGGTCTCCTGAGCGCATCTGCCAATGACTTAGGAGGGGGCGGGGTTGCGCGTTTCAGGTTTGGCTGACGTCTCTGCCTTTTTTCCTCCTTTGCCACTGGAATCAAACGTCAAAGAGAGGGAGGGAGGGGAAGAAGTGGTAGAAGGGGGAGAGAGAGAGGCGAGAGTGCGAACGGGGGACAGAAATTATATTAAAGATGCCGTGCTGTGTCCCTCCTGAACAGCTGAGATCTGGGGGTAAAGGGCATTGCTTCGGTTCCCTTCGCCTCACCCCAAAGCTTTCCTCGAGGCCAGGAAGCTTGGAGGAAAGGACTCCTCTACTTGCTGGTGTAAAAACAAACACACATCTCCTAGCAAGCCACTTCCCAAGCGTCCCTAGCTGGGAGCCAGTAGTTTTTAGCCTTTTAAAATGCAGGAGCTAATGTATTCTAATGCATGGTAAATTCCCGAGACTGGGCGTGCATAATCTACCGTACGAGAGGAACTCCAGCGCCCTCGCCGCCTGCGAGCTGCGGCCGGCGGACGCAAGCCCACAGGCGGCTCGGGCCGTGGTAATGAATGCAAAGTTAACACAATAACATCATTTAATTACCCGGCGAGCCCATAAATCTCCCAGTTATGAGGCTTCAGAAGGGCCCTGCTAGATTGCAAAACAAAACTAGAACTCCAGGAATTGCGGTTTCAAGGTGACCAAATGCTTGCCTCATTAGAGACTTGGAAAGAATTGGCGGCGGTGGAGTTGGGGGTGGGGAGTATTTCGGCAGGATTGTAGCCACTTCCTAAAGCGAGCAAACTTATCCTGGGGGCAGGGAGTATGTAAACCGTTTGGGACGACACCAGTGGATCTTTCCCAGAACACACGCACGCGCGCACACTCTTCTCTCGAATCCCGGGAGAAGAACGCCCCGGGTTATGGCTGTGGGTAGATGCCATGAAGCCTTGGCAGACATAGTCATATCCAAACCTTGTTTTTGAAAAGACCAGAGCCTCGGCGAGTTCTAGAACGCTCTCAAGCCGCAGCTTTAAAAAGTACCCCCTTTTAAACCTAGAATTTCCGTTATTCAGTAACCCCGGGTCGGGGTCTAGGAGTGGAGCGGGGTAAAGAGAAGGTGATTTCTGCGACCTGGGTTGGGGGTGGAGAGGTGGTTGAAGACCGAGCCACCAGACGTTGAAAGCCTTAAAAGTAACAGATTCTTCCAAAGCAGGTTGCGTTCTGTTTGCCTCCGAAGATTCAAGCTAGCTGAGGTTGCGCAGATGTTGCCTTTGTTTAAAGAGACAGTAATTAAGGACAGGGTGGACATAAGTTTGAGAAGCGTGACCTATTTTCTTTTGATCAGCTGTCAAAAGAAGAGCAGGGGGTCTCCTTAAGACAGCCTCCTCCAACCACTTCCAGCTGTTAGAGAAAACTTGATAGGAAAACAAGGACACAGCCTGGAATACTGGATGTGCCTTCCAGGCGCTTGAGAAAGGGTTGAAAATAGTTTTTAGTCTCCCTGACCTTTTAGGGTTGCTCTCCTCTCTTCTAGCTACAGAGCACCCCAAAACCCACCCTCTCCCACACCACCCTGTCACAGGAAATGTTCAGTGACATTATTCATAGGTCTACTATTGAGCTCTGGACAATACCTTGCCAATTATTTTTTTTAAATAGCTGCTTCTCTGTAATATCAAAGGCTGGGTAAGAAAGTAGATGATCCCCTGTGTTGCTAGACATACTCTTCTGGATGCTCACATCTTTAATGTCACAAAACTAGACAGGTAAAATAACTCAGTTTTCTGTTTCTCTGCCTTTCCTCTCCCCCTCATCCTCTCTTCTGTCTCTTTTCCTACTCCCCACCTTATAAATGGCAGCTGGACACTTGGGATAATTTGAAACAGTTAATATTTGAAATACACACCCAGTTGAACAAAAGTTAATAGGAGTGCAACCTCTATGTTGGTCCAGGAGTGCTCAGCAGAGGAACAAGGCTGGGGAAGGAGTCTGGGGTGCCCTAGTGCTGAACGAAGCCTTCTCTGCCCTGGTTTCAGCCTCAGAGTGGTCAGTGATTCCAGGCTGGGACATCGATTGGCACTGCCTCTTTGCAGAAAACTAAATATATAAATTGCCATTTAAATAATTTTTCAAAACGATAAACTCATTTACCAGGCTGCCAAGATAAGTCTCAAGGGAATTATATTTCGGTGTGCCTGGGAGCAGTCGTGTGCTGGGGAGTTGAAAGGTGAGTTGCATATTCTCACTGCCTAGCTCCCTCCCTCCTCCTCCCTTTCTCCTCCCTCTCTCCCACCGTTGCTCCCCCTTCCCTCGATCAATATTGGCGATCTCAGGGAAATCATGAAATAGTATTGGCTTCTTTGTGTATAATTTCATTGGGCTAGATTAAAGCAGATTTTTCACGTTGTTTTTCTAATGGTGGTTTGAGGTTTTATATTTCAACCCCAACCCACTTAAAAGAAAAATTAATGTGCATATTTAGTCAGTATCCCAATTTTTACTGAATTAGGTTTGCATGCCCTTTTCTTTCTAAAAAGAAAAATTATCTGTTTTCTACTTGAAGATAATTTTAAGAACATCAGTACTAATAAGATTTTCAAATATGTTTTGAAATATCTTTGATATTTCTTTCTCTATTGTTCTGTAAAGAAATAAAAAGGAAGGGTTGCTTTCTAACTGCCCCTTGTTTAGGACATATACACTCAGCTTTACTAGTTCTTCGACTCAGAATTTTTGCTTTTCATTTGAAGTTACACTTCTGTTCTCTCCTCCCTTTGGCATTTGATTCACAAATAGACTGTATAGAAATGTGGTAATAGGAGAGCTAGTTCATGACTATTAGAATCTGGACAAACAGTTGCATCAGCCATTACATCAGGAGCAAGATATCCATTTCTTGGTATGCCACATCCACAGGTCTGATTTTCTTCAAGATCAGACACCTAAATGGGTCAAAAGAAGCCTGTAAATAAAATGCAGCTTTGACGAAAGATGTAAAAACTATCATACTGTAAAGGACAAAAAAAAAAAAAAAATCTGAACTTGAGTTCGCAATTACAGAAAAAGACTGGACTTTTTTACTGTCAGGGCTTTCAATCTATGTTTTCACATTAAATTGTATTTTTAGGCTCTGAGAGGGAGAAAGCAGTGGAGAATGCAATTAAAACGGAGACCCTATAAATTATTCACACATCCACAAAAATAAACAGATCACAAGTAAACCCAGTCTGGATAAGGGGCCCAACGGCTTTGTTTTCACCAAACAACAGTAACTACAACCCAAATCCTGGCAGAGGAGGGCTGCTGATTTCCACCCAAATGTTCAAAATGCTGAAGAAGGTTTTGTGTTGAGCAGAGCACATTTGTGCTACAACTCGGTTTATCAGAGCAACACAAAAAGACATAATGGTGGGTTGATTTGGACTATTTTATTTTTGTCCTTCCCCAAACCATCTGGCGTGTGAGTGTAGGGGTATTGATCAGGATCTGTGAGCTGCAGACCCCATGCCAATCTATAGCGTTTCTGGCAATCAGCATCGCCCATGAATTGCAGCTGTCTGTGCAGCTCCCGAACAGAAATCTTCAAAAAGTGCCCCCCTTATCAAACACATCATCCGTTCAGGGGTAAGTCAATATCTTTTCTTTGTCATTCAGTGAGCCAGGATTATGAGGGAGAAAGTTTTTTGTTGTCTGTTGTAGATGCTGCTGCTGCTGCGCCTGCCCCCCAACCCTCTTTTAAAGGAAGGAGAGCAATTTTCTCGCCATTGAATGGTAATGGTTTTCCAGAAAGGTCTCAAGCGTTTGTTTGAATCGGACAACAAATGCTGTTCAAATATTGTGGGGGAATTTGAAAAGCAGGGAGAAATCCTTATGTTGCTATACACAAATAATAAGTGATAATAGAGGGTGCCTTTTAACAGAGCAGAATTTTCTCCCCCCTATCCAGAGCCCCTGGTGATGAAGACACCGAAAGTCTCTGTGATTACACTTACAGATGGACATGGGTGCTGGTGGTGGGAAAGGAGACTTCGGAATTGTGGCTGTGTTTGATATCTCCATTAGCTTCAGTTTTCCTCTGCTTGAAGCTAGGGCTACTTGAGTACAGGGAGAAGAAAACTAAAACGGAAGCCCCACTAACTCCCTTAGGCCTCTCAGCTCAGAAATTCACTGACACGTTTCAGATTACAGTTGAATCAAGGAAAGTTAAAAAAAAAAAAAAAAAAAGTTGTCCAGGTGGTGAGGCCTAAACGGTCTTCCCTCCCTGTGAATGTTGTTAAAATAGAATATTCCAGGTTATTTGGCAAAGCCGGCAAGGGACTGACCACCCTTAACTTTTTGGTTGACAAGGACACTTTGCGCAGGGGTGGGGGGAGAGTTGGAGTTTGTTAGTGTTCTTCCCACCATCAGCTGGCCTATTAGGGAAAGAAAATAAAGATACGGAAGCCCTGCCTGCCTGGGGAGCGGTCCCTCGGAGACCCAAGCCCAGTGCCTGGACTCGAAAGTGGGGAGCGGGGCTGCGGGGTGGTTGGTCTGTGGGCAAAACCTACTACAGCCTCAGTTGTCC